TCTGCAAATCTATTGAAGCTAAAACAATTATTACTGTTATTATTAATTTTTGACAGAACTTCACTTGTAACAGCTAGCACCATCTTTGAAATGTGTGAATTGATGTTAGATGTAGAGGGAGACCAGAGAGTTTCATGGGGCTACACTAATTGTTATTATAGTAGCGAATCTTGCATTCTAAGGTTTGTTACAAATTAAACTTGTTCATTGAGCAGAGTCCCCTTACAGGTCAATATAGTGGACCGTTACAGCAGCAGAAAGTGCAACGAAGACAGAAAATATAAGAAAGGGATAATGTCACGCTCACAGCTGGATTATTTTGCATTGATCACAGGGGCTTAGAGTAGACTTATATGATATATAAAGATGTCTTTATATATAAAGGTATGTTAAGATAATTGTATTATAAGTATATATACAAGCCCCTGTGCATTGATCATATATATATATATACAAACATGCAACGCTGTGCGTACAGGGCATACTTCCCATTGTCATATGTGGTCTCAAAGCTGCACATACACATTAATCACATATACTTTGCAAATATTGTATCAATGTATGATTCAGACATTACAACACGAAAATATGGAAATGATCGATTGATAGAAAATCTATTTACATACGTTTCGGTAGTCACGTTTCAGTAGCTTAGACTATGCGTGTTTCGTCTAATAATTGATGATTTCGAATGTATATTTTCGAAACAACAAGTTTCTGTATCTAATATAATGTCATGGATGTATTCCCAAATGGCTAAAGCACACAGACACACGTGTTATACCCTAAAATCCTAAGTAAACATATTCCGTACCATTCATTGAAGACTGTCGCCTCAAAGTGTCTGCCATCTTGAAACTTTACGGACAAAAATGATTGGCTGATTTGCGATCACGTGTTCGGGGTCGTTTCTAACGAGACGAAAAGAGGCACTGCATTGGGGTTTCTAACAAAACTAAAATGCGAATAAAGCGGGTTTTTTCAAAAATATACGTTTACCTATTTACCTTTTTTTTGTAAACATGTGTACTTTATGACATCGTACACGTTGTTTATGGAGTGCACAATATGGAATCTGACATATAGGCCAAATGCAGTTACGACCTACATCATTTGTACTCTGAAGCTTTCTGTAAAAGTATGGTTAGTTTTAAGATGCACGCGTGCGGTAATAAATTGAAACATAATGGAGAAAATGAAACAAAACGTATCTTAAATATATGCATAACCTGGATATAATTCTATCCGTTTTCTGTTCAAGCTAATTTGAATGACGATCCTAATTGCGACTGGGATAAAATAATGCAATGAAAATGCTTCATTTGCATAAGGTACCAAAGTCTATATATAGTGGATAAAAGGAAGGTGTACACAGTCGACAAGAAAAGACATATAAAGGAACTAGAGGAGACTCCGGTTTAATAGAATATGTTTATATTTATTTGCAAACTACAGGAGTGCATGATATAGATGCCATGCCTTTATCGACGTAACAGCAAAAAAAACACTAAATATATGATAAGGAAATAAATACAATGTCACGCTATGTTGGACGTTTTTTTCCACAAGAAATGGCCGTTATCGATGTAAGTCTCTTAATTTTGCCATATATTACATTGTAGAACACATATAGACAAATTGTCCTGTTTACCTTCTCCAGCAACACGATACAAGTGTATTACGGTCATGAACGCTGTTGGAACCTTTTCATTACCAGATATATTTTTAATGTTATTAAGACTCTAATGATAAGCGAAGCAAACCATGTTTTTTTTCCACAAATTGTAAATCTTCATTTCTGGAATTTATTATATTTTTTTTTTTTCAAATTCACACAAATGCATGTGTGAATGCATGCAAACTTGATATTGGAATAAATCTATTACATTGTCCGGAGATAATCAAAAGTGACATTCATACCGCATAACACATTAAATACTGATATTTTAATGCACAATATCTGATACATCAAAATCGAATAATAGTCCAGTCATTTTACCAAAAACATGGCCTAATTGCAAAAGAATTTAGTTTTCGTTTTTCACAATGATGAATATCTATATCATAAAAGAAAAAAAGTGTCAAAAAATCAACCGCGAGGGGAATGTTTTTTTTCACCATCTTGGGGATCAAGAAATAAGCAAAATAATTTATTTTGCCAAATTTTGAGGGATAGTATTAAACTTTTACCTTTTACGTCAAAACTTGCAGAAATGGGGAACATCCCAAAATCAGCCAAATCAGCTGTAATTGCCGTCTTTAGAGATTGATATCTTTAAAAATGCAACAAAAATAAATACATTCAATTTGAGAAAGCTATTACGCTATTTTGATTTCCCCCCAATACATCGATTCCAATGTAATTTTCTGACAAGTATACGTTTAAATATATAATGTAGTCTTCTAATAGTTATCATAGTATAGCGAAATAAAACGATATTTCAACTCTAGGGAAAGGAAATCACTGGGATGTTGATTAGTCTGTGTGTAAAGGTACTGCTATATAATAGTATAGGATCGTTCCGTTTGTGTACTATCTAAACATCATTCCTAAAATATCAAGTACGAATCGCATCGCATCATTTATCGCATCGTCGATCGTTGATCACTGATCGCAATGCCTGCGCATCGTTTCCGCACCGTTCTAAACCAACTGCTTTCACAGTACTGTGTATTGTACTTTAACTGATCTTGCGATACCTTTAATGTTCAGAAGACTGTGTTACACAATAACATATTTTGCAATTCAAAGTTGATAAAATAAGTGATTTTGGTTATTTTGAGACCTTTTTTCTGTAAATTGAATGGACTGTAAAAGAAACCCCAAACCTTTCTCGTCTATGCAGTTAATGTTTTACCCTTTGTATAAATAAAATATTCGGAAATGTGTATTCTAAATACCCCCCACCCCCCTCAATACCCCCACC